ATTCTGTTCTTATTCATACACTAAATGCAGTAACCATTTGTGTGTGAGAACGTCTTCCACCCTTTCCACATTCACCATCCAATGCAAACCTTCAATGTACAATATTAGATGCCTCAACACAATCAGTCAAAGGACAAGTTCAAGCCGCATTAGTCCAATTGATTAAGTTGCAGTAAGGGAGTGATAGAGAGCAGTAACATCCATTGTGCTATCTAATTATAGATATCAAAAATGGAAGTACAAAAAAGAACAAAGAAATACTATCAAATTATAATTATTAAAAGTGGAAGTATAAACAACACAAAAAACTAGTGATTTTAATCCATTTTAATTGCTCAATTCAGCAAGGCACTATTGTTGAATATACTAAATAACCTTGAAAGAAAATTAGAAGGAACCTTAAACAACAGAAAATCAAGAACCTAATCGGTGAAGAAAATATTGAAATAAGATCTAGATTGTTTAAGAACGCACCAGTACAACGTACAAAAGCACTAAAGATCAAAACAGACATGTTGATATACCTACACAAATATACACACTTTATAGGGTAAAAGCCAAAAAGGTAAAGTTACCGAGAGGGACGCCTTGCTTATTCGAATCTTGAAGCCTATGAAGAACCTCATTGTAAACCTCAAGCTTCTTTCACTGTTGTCGACTGTTCACGTCGCTTTACTACTACAACTACTACTCTCGTTGTCTTCCATCACCATTCGATCACATCCCAAGGAAAGAACAAGTACTAAAAACGAAAGAAAATCACAAGAAAAAATTTCTCTTCAAAGATTTGAACTCCGAAACTTCGAGACTCTGTTTCATGGTAAACGTGAGGTGGATTTTCAAGTAAGAGAGAGGAGCAATTGTAATACCCCGTTCCATTTTGGCAAGAACTAGTTGGTGAATATTATTTTGAAAGGAATAAGAAAAATTTTTAAAGATGAATTTAGAATAACCTATAAGAATCTAGAATGTTGGAAAAATTTCTAAAAAGTTCTAGAATAATTTAGAGAAGTCTAGAATATTTTTAAAAGATTTTAGGAAATACTAGAAGCTTTTAGAGGGATTTAAAATATTCCAAAAAGTTTCAAAAGGACGTAAAAGGTTGGAGAAGACTTTAGAATATCATAGATGAATCTAGATACTTGTGGAATTGTCATGTACTAAATAAGCTTGAAACCTAGACGGATCTAGGAAAGGGAAAATGGTAGAATATTCTAGGGAATCCCCCTAAAAATGTCACATGTCAATATTCTCTAGAATAATCTTAGGATTCCTATAAATAGGACATTTGAGAAATAGATTAAGGATACAAGTGCACAAGTAGTCTTCCACTTTCAAGAAAGAATAGAGAGTAAAAGAAAGAAGAAGGAAGAAAGAATACCTCATCAAAGGAGAAAGGAAATTGTGAGAGAAAGAGAAAAGACATTGATAACATCTCACTCTACTTCGGGTAACAAGCAACACTCAAGAAGCATATCATTTCCTTTGGACTTAAGGTGAGTGGTTTGACATGCTACGTATTTTTCCAATATCTCTAAACATTTTAAAAATGATACATAATGCTTGTTCTTTACTACCTTTACAATAATGCTTTACTAATTAGCTAAATATTTGCGGCATACAATTTGATTACTTTGATGAACTCTTTTGTGAAATATTATGACTTAATCATTTGTTATATGGTGAGACTTTGTGATAGTGAATGAGATCATGATTAAAAGTCCAGAAAAATTATTCCTCTATGTGCGGGTGACCCTAGCCACTAGGGAACAGACCTAGGGAGGCTGAAGTGACCCTAGTGCTCAACGGTTAAAAGAACAATTCCAAGTGTGTCTTGGTGACTTTCACCGGATCGTCTTAGGGAACAATTTTCGGGCGATAACCCGTCGTGACCCTAAGAATGATGTTGGATCCAACCCTGAGATATATTCTAGCATTTGGTACTAAAAGTTCAGAAAAATTATTCATCTATGTGAGAGTGACCTTGGCCACTAGGGAACAGACCTGGGGAGGCTGAGGTGACCCAGTGCTCAACGGTTGAAGGAACAGTTCTTGGTACCTCCTGGTGACCTTCACCAGATCGTCTTAGGGAACAGTTCCTATGTGGCAACCCGTGGTGACCCTAAGTACGGTGTTGGATCCAACCTTGAGATCTTCTGGCAATTGGTATTTGGTTCCCATCGATTATTAGATATCGTATAGTCTCCACCATTATGATATGATTCACCATTGTGGTATGATTTCTTGTTCAAATCCGATTGTGTTATTTTTGAGAAATTGATTATCTTTATAAATTTATTTTTCCAAACCTTTGATTTACATGTTGTATGCCAAATATGTTTTTTAGCCGCTTTGAATATGCATGTCTTTCCATTCAGTGGATCTTTTAGCTCATGTTTTCAAAATAATATTTTTTTAGGTAAACGATTGGAGTGTCAATAGCGGACTCAGGGAATTGATTGGGGACTAATAGTGTTGTAACCTCCGTAGCATTTATTGTATAGTCATATTTACTTGTTTGGATAATTGAGACAAACAGGTTTAGGTATGATTGACTTGACATATTGACATGCGATCAATTTAGTGTTAATGTGGTTTTCACTCCTTTATTATTAGTTTATTGTTAGATTTATGTGTTCCATAGGTTATGGATCTATAGTTCACGGTCGGTCATGCCCTTAGAGTTGGGGAGTGACAACAATTTTATATGGAGATTGAAGAATTGGGACAAAAGCCAAAAAGGGAAACTTACTGAGAGGGAAGCCTAGGTTGTTCAAATCTTGAAGCCTACGAAGAACCACATTGCAAACCTCAAGCTTTTTTCTCTGTTGCCGACTGCTCACTTGCATCGATTCTGCCACTCTACTACTATAACTACTACTCTCGTTGTCTTCCATCACCATTCGATCACATTCAAAGAAAAGAACAAGAATTGAAAACGAAAGAAAATCACGAGAAAGAAATTTTTATATGAAGCTCTGACCTCTGAAACTTCGAGACTCTGTTTCACGATAAACGTGAAGTGAATTTTCAAGTAAGAGAGGGGAGTAATTTTATTTGCTNACTCTGACCTCTGAAACTTCAAGACTCTGTTTCACGATAAACGTGAAGTGAATTTTCAAGTAAGAGAGGGGAGTAATTTTATTTGCTAATTGAAGAAGTGAGAAAAATATGTATTGATTGGCAACGTGTCAATTCATCTATTTCTCTCTCTCTATAAATGTGTATTGTATTTGTAGAGGCGGTTGCGGTTCGCATATAATGTTTTAACGGTTCAGTTGAGATCCTCTACGATCTTACTTTCTAAAAAATTTCTCCTACATCCGTACTCAACCTATATCAATTCAAAATATACTTATTTTTTTTAACTAAAGAGACTTTATTTCATACTTAAATTTTTAATAGTGAGTTTTTTTTTAAATTCAATGATTATTTTTATCCTGATTGAAATTTAAGTTTATCTCTATTTAAATTTGAATTTTTATTCGTTTATGAAAAATGGATGAATAAAAAATAATTGATGAAAAATAGAATTTTCTATTATTTAGTTATAAAGAAAAGATAGAGGAAGAAAAATTGGATGGAAGGACAATCCTTCCCGCCTAAAACGGCAGAAAATGGCCAGGCATGACATGGAGTCCACAGCTTAATGACTAATTACTATTTAGTCCTTTGAAGGTCACGTTACAAGTCAATATATTATTCATATTCTACTTAGATATCTTTGGTATTTCATTAGCAATGATGTTTCTTTATTTTTTTTTCATACTAAATATAATAATAATAATAAAATTATTCCTTCTACTTTTTCATCCTTATTACCAAACATAAATAATGCAAAAACTCTTTCTTTCTTTCAAGGATGAAAAATTTACTCCTTCCATTTTTCTATCCTTTCACTTTTTTATCTTTCCTACCAAACGAACTATTAAATTTGAGTTTCTCTTCTCTTTTTTTTTTAACTCAAATTTGGGTAAGAATTAGAGATGTACACTCTCTATAAATTGTCACCCTGTTTCGTGGAGTTATTTATAATACAAAAAAAATGATAAAAATAATTAGCACAATAATAATAAAAATATCTACAACAGTACCTACAAATGAATAATTTTTTTGTAGGAAAAAAAAGCTAACATTGCGCGGTTTCTTAGAAACCTTTTGGATTGAGATACCGAGAAACGGTTTCTTAGTATATTATTGATAAACAAATGGGTGTGTTTGTGTGGGTTTTATGAGGTGGCCACTGTCTGTTTGTGTGGTTTTTATGAGATGGACATATAGGTTGAGAATAGTTTATGATTGATACGTACAGAAGCAGGTCCTGAAATTGGAATTTGTGAAAAATTATTAAAACTTTCAAACTGGTTTCCCTCAATTCCAAACTCCTGCTTCTCAACCCCACCAAAAAAACATAAAAACAAAAAGAAACACCAATTTTCTTAGCTATCTAGGTATTTCAATCAGGAATTTGACATTGAGTTAGATCTCTATCTCAATGTAGTGAGTTTAGTGAAGACATGCTGCATTTTGAATGCATTTTCTTGAAGCATCACTCCTATTTGCATACTCTACCTATTTTCTTCCAATACAAAAAATTGATCGATGAATTTTTGCGAAAACTACATCTGCAAGTCAGTCACCACATCAATATATGTCTGAATTACTAAATAAATCTTGGAATTGAGAGAAAGTCATTCAAGAATCGAAGAAATTTTGCTCTGCTTTCAATTCCACAATCGTAACTCCTATCTGCATACTCTAGCTATTCTCTTCCAAAACAAAAACTCTGTATCATTATGTCGTTGATACTTAGTTCTATCTGTCACTACATCAATAAAAAAATAAAACACAGGAAGTGTTATCTGCCGTGTATTCTATCTAAACAGTGAGATAGTAAAATACTTACTTTAGTAAGTTCATCCTACAATAACATGTACATGATGAACTCTTCCCTTCTTGCATATTTGGCCAAAGATTCCAACTGCAAACAAGGACAAACTATGAGTGAAGTAATTGCTGGATCTGATCCTTCAACAGAAGCAAATACTGGCTTTGATGCCAGTCGTATTGCAAAAGTTAAAGCATGGCTTGTATCTCAATTTGATGCAGCTAGAAAAGATGTCTCTGATTTTGAGTATACTCCTCAAAGCATTGCTCATTTACATAACCTTGCCAACATCTCCCAAGAAAAAACTCAAGCTGCTGGCATTGTTGCAAAGGACTTCTGCCAGAAAGCATCTGAGTATCATTCCCAAGGTTATTGAATTGGATTTTGTTTGGACTTTATTCGTTATTGTACTCATCCTTATGTCAAGTCTCATATGACTATGATTCCAACATTTTTGAATTGTAACTACAAGGATTAGAGAGATATTGGAGAATGTGGGATTGGCAAAAGAGAGTTTGCCACCAAACGTGGTTGGATCGGCACAAGTTCTTGCCAATGTGGCAAACTTATTGAATATTAGAGACACTAAACTTAGTAGGTGGGTGGCCCTTGCTCTCTATTTTCCATTTTTCTTTAATTCTTTGTTTTGTTTCTATTGTCTTACTATGAGCAAAACATTTTAGTTTTCTTGTAATAATGGCGGATATTGCTCTAAGAAAGACTGGAGTTGAAGAAAAGAGGGCCAAAGTACAGAAGGAGTCTAAAGTACTTCTTGATTACACTCGAAAGGCCATAGCAAGGCTGACCTATTTGAAAAAGTAAACCCACTAAGTGCAAGTTTTAGGTTTTTATATATACCTTTTAATTTTGCTTCTTGATAATGTTCTGTTTTTTATACATTAAAAGTAGAATTAGATTAAGAGTACTAGGTTTTATGAATAAAGTGTTCATATTTATCTATTGTTTTGATCTATTGTAGGTAGAACACTTGCGCAACTGGAAGATGATGTAGCTCCTTGTGAGGCTCAAATGGAAAGCTAGAAGACAAACTTGAAGATTATGGTTACAAAAGAGTGTCAATACCTGCTACAATATTCGAACTATAAGGTTCTGTAGGGAAATTTACATGAAATTTTCAAACCTGTGAGAAACAAAAAATAGAGAAAACACACACCTAAGAAAAAAATAATCACTCACATGAGACAGTATTTACGTGGTTCGATAATTTACCTATGTCCACGAAATTGCAGGGATTTCACTATAATCAAAAAATAATACAGAGTGCGGCCGACTGTACAGTTTTTTTCTTTTCCTGTCAAAACTACATAAAAAAATTCCTATTCACCAAAATAATGGTTTTTTATATATCTACTTAACTGTTGTTGTGAATAAGCTGCGAGGTATCCTGAATGTTGCTGCCANATTGATACTTAGTTCTATCTGTCACTACATCAATAAAAAAATAAAACACAGGAAGTGTTATCTGTCGTGTATTCTATCTAAACAGTGAGATAGTAAAATACTTACTTTAGTAAGTTCATCCTACAATAACATGTACATGATGAACTCTTCCCTTCTTGCATATTTGGCCAAAGATTCCAACTGCAAACAAGGACAAACTATGAGTGAAGTAATTGCTGGATCTGATCCTTCAACAGAAGCAAATACTGGCTTTGATGCCAGTCGTATTGCAAAAGTTAAAGCATGGCTTGTATCTCAATTTGATGCAGCTAGAAAAGATGTCTCTGATTTTGAGTATACTCCNGACTGCAAACAAGGACAAACTATGAGTGAAGTAATTGCTGGATCTGATACTTCAACAGAAGCAAATACTGGCTTTGATGCCAGTCGTATTGCAAAAGTTAAAGCATGGCTTGTATCTCAATTTGATGCAGCTGGAAAAGATGTCTCTGATTTTGAGTATACTCCTCAAAGCATTGCTCATTTACATAACCTTGCCAACATCTCCCAAGAAAAAACTCAAGCTGCNATGGCTTGTATCTCAATTTGATGCAGCTAGAAAAGATGTCTCTGATTTTGAGTATACTCCTCAAAGCATTGCTCATTTACATAACCTTGCCAACATCTCCCAAGAAAAAACTCAAGCTGCTGGCATTGTTGCAAAGGACTTCTGCCAGAAAGCATCTGAGTATCATTCCCAAGGTTATTGAATTGGATTTTGTTTGGACTTTATTCGTTATTGTACTCATCCTTATGTCAAGTCTCATATGACTATGATTCCAACATTTTTGAATTGTAACTACAAGGATTAGAGAGATATTGGAGAATGTGGGATTGGCAAAAGAGAGTTTGCCACCAAACGTGGTTGGATCGGCACAAGTTCTTGCCAATGTGGCAAACTTATTGAATATTAGAGACACTAAACTTAGTAGGTGGGTGGCCCTTGCTCTCTATTTTCCATTTTTCTTTAATTCTTTGTTTTGTTTCTATTGTCTTACTATGAGCAAAACATTTTAGTTTTCTTGTAATAATGGCGGATATTGCTCTAAGAAAGACTGGAGTTGAAGAAAAGAGGGCCAAAGTACAGAAGGAGTCTAAAGTACTTCTTGATTACACTCGAAAGGCCATAGCAAGGCTGACCTATTTGAAAAAGTAAACCCACTCAATGCAAGTTTTAGGTTTTTATATATACCTTTTAATTTTGCTTCTTGATAATGTTCTGTTTTTTATACATTAAAAGTAGAATTAGATTAAGAGTACTAGGTTTTATGAATAAAGTGTTCATATTTATCTATTGTTTTGATCTATTGTAGGTAGAACACTTGCGCAACTGGAAGATGATGTAGCTCCTTGTGAGGCTCAAATGGAAAGCTAGAAGACAAACTTGAAGATTATGGTTACAAAAGAGTGTCAATACCTGCTACAATATTCGAACTATAAGGTTCTGTAGGGAAATTTACATGAAATTTTCAAACCTGTGAAAAACAAAAAATAGATAAAACACACACCTAAGAAAAAAATAATCACTCACATAAGACAGTATTTACGTGGTTCGATAATATACCTATGTCCACGAAATTATAGGGATTTCACTATAATCAAAAAATAATACAGAGTGCGGCCGACTATACAGTTTTTTTCTTTTCCTCTCAAAACTACATAAAAAAATTCCTATTCACCAAAATAATGGTTTTTTATATATCTACTTAACTGTTGTTGTGAATAAGCTGCGAGGTATCCTGAATGTTGCTGCCATCAAAACACCTGGTTTGGCAAGAAGAGAAAGGCTCTCCTTCAAGATATTGCCATATTGACAGGTATATCATTATTGCTAATCTGCTTGAAAAGTTGTTTCCGCCCTTTGTAAGGTTGTTCCTTTAATTTACTCANGTTTGGCAAGAAGAGAAAGGCTCTCCTTCAAGATATTGCCATATTGACAGGTATATCATTATTGCTAATCTGCTTGAAAAGTTGTTTCCGCCCTTTGTAAGGTTGTTCCTTTAATTTACTCATTCTCTCTGTGTAGCAACGAGTCAGCTTATAAAATGGATCTGTAAAATTGTTTTGAGTGACGGACTTGAGCAAAAATTATATTTTTTCTCTTTTTTCTCTTGCATGTACAATTTGTCAAGAAATTGTACATCTTAGTGAACAGAGTCAGTGAGGATATGGATGCACTATTGATTGATTCTGAGAATGTATCCAAACACATTGAGTTATTATCACCCGTACGCTGACCTCCTTTTTCTACCATCTATGTCAATTGTTCAGGGGCTGAGTATCAAGCCAGAGATTTGGGATTGCTTATTGAGAATACCTCGGTTGAGCAGCTTGGTTTGGCCAGAAAGGTGACCGTCAGCCAGGACTCCAGAACCATCATTGCAGACGCTGCAATAAAAGATGAGATACAGGCTAAAATTGCACAGATTAAAAATGAGTTGCTTGGGACAGATTTTGTTTACGACTCAGAAGCTTGCCGAGCAAATTGCCAAGTTCTNTGAGAATACCTCGGTTGAGCAGCTTGGTTTGGCCAGAAAGGTGACCGTCAGCCAGGATCCAGAACCATCATTGCAGACGTTGCAATAAAAGATGAGATACATGCTAAAATTGCACAGATTAAAAATGAGTTGCTTGGGACAGATTTTGTTTACGACTCAGAAGCTTGCTGAGCAAATTGCCAAGTTGTNGTGACCGTCAGCCAGGACTCCAGAACCATCATTGCAGACGCTGCAATAAAAGATGAGATACAGGCTAAAATTGCACAGATTAAAAATGAGTTGCTTGGGACAGATTTTGTTTACGACTCAGAAGCTTGCCGAGCAAATTGCCAAGTTCTCTAGTGGGGTTGCTGTTATAAAGGTGGGGGCTGCAACTGAAAACGAACTGGAGGATCATAAGCTTCGTATTGAAGATGCAAAGAATGCAACTTTTGCTGCGACAGAGGAAGGGATTGTCCCCAGTGGAGGTGCTGCTTTATTTCACCTTTCAACTTATGTTCCTGCCATTAAAGACAAGCTTGAAGATGCAGATAAGCGGCACGACGCTGATATTGTGCAGAAGGTATTAGTCATTTCTTTGCCTGAGTGCATGATCTTATCCTTCACCTTCCCACCCGCAACACCACCCCTAGGTTTCTTTTAGGCATTTAGGGAAAGTTTATCGTGTTCAAGGCAATCTAAGCATTTCTAATTTAGACAACCTCTTGCAGTTATTTTTGTATTAAATACTCCTTCCGTCATTCCTTCTACGAAAGTTAGGATATGATGTGGAAAAAAATTAGAAAATCATGAGAATCAAGTTATATTAACGTGGGAGGATATACAAATCTAGAATCTTTAGTGATCTATTCAGTTGAACTGCAAATCTTCAGGCTGTGGAGAATGGGAACGAGAGCTTAGTGTACATTGCTTCTTCTTTGTGAATATATTCACGAAGGGTAAATTGCTTTTTTGGGTGGACCTTACTGACTTGCATTTCTGCTTGTAGGCACCTGTTGTTGGGCCGTTGTGGACTCTAATTTTTATGTGTGTTGATCCGGATGATGACCCGACCCNTTCTTTGTGAATATATTCACGAAGGGTAAATTGCTTTTTTGGGTGGACCTTACTGATTTGCATTTCTGCTTGTAGGCACCTGTTGTTGGGCCGTTGTGGAGTCTAGTTTTTATGTGTGTTGATCTGGATGATGACTCGACTCGAAGTAATGTTGTGTGATTTTTTAATAGAAAAAATTTTTGGGCTTGTTTTGTAGCTCGGTGCATAGGACATATAAAAAACCGCTACTTTGGTGATTAGGATTTTATCGATGTGTATAGCCGCTCTTTGTAATTCTCTCTCTCAATAGTACAAACCTTACAGTTTTGTGGACGTAAACAAATTGTCAAACCACGTAAAATTTTTGTGTCTTGTTCTTTCTTGTTTCTTATTACTTTATGTTCTTGGTTTGTTCTTCGATTATGTGTGTTTGTCTATAGGTTTAAAGCATAATAAATCTCAACAACTAGTATCAAAACTCTGGATTAAGAGGTCAAGGGTTTACACAATGACTAANAAACCACGTAAAATTTTTGTGTCTTGTTCTTTCTTGTTTCTTATTACTTTATGTTCTTGGTTTGTTCTTCGATTATGTGTGTTTGTCTATAGGTTTAAAGCATAATAAATCTCAACAACTAGTATCAAAACTCTGGGTTAAGAGGTCAAGGGTTTACACAATGACTAAAGACAAAGTCAAGATCGAAAAATTCAATGGCACGAACTACGCATTCTAAAAGATGCAGATGGAGGATATTCTGTATCAGAAGAATCTGTATCAACCTATCGATGGGATGAAGCCAGCGCATATGGAGCAAGCAAAGTGGGATGTTTTGGATCGCAAAGCCCTAGGGACTCTGCCACTGTGCCCCGCGCAGTCAGTTGCGTCGAACATCGCCAAAGAAAAGACTACATCAAATTTGTTCAAAACCCTAGAAAAGATATACGAAAAGCCTTCAACATTNGCAAGCAAAGTGGGATGTTTTGGATCGCAAAGCCCTAGGGACTCTGCCACTGTGCCTCGCGCCGTCAGTTGCGTCGAACATCGCCAAATAAAAGACTACATCAAATTTTTTCAAAGCCCTAGAAAAGATATACGAAAAGCCTTCAACATTGAATAAGGTATATCTTATGAAAAAGTTGTTTAACTTAAAGATGTCTGAAAATACTATTGTTGTTGAACATATCAATAAATTTAATACAGTCACGAATTAGTTAGAATCCGTGAGTATTATTTTTGATGATGAAATTAGAGCTCTTGTCCTTTTATCAAGTCTGCCGAAAAGTTGGAATGGACTTGTCGTGGCAGTAAGCAATTCTTTCGGGTTTGCAAAGATAAAATTAGAGGATGTTGTGGCGTTGATACTAGGAGAGGAGGCTCGAAGAAGAGCATGGGGTGAGGATGTTGTTTCAGGTTCAGCACTCAATATAGAAGAGAGAGGCAAGACTATGAATAAGGGAGGCAACAAAAAGGGAAAAGGAAAGTCGTATTCGAGAAACAGAGGCCGAAGTAAATCTCGTAGCGGAGATGAGGGCTGCTGGAACTGTGGNGTGGCAGTAAGCAATTCTTCCGGGTTTGCAAAGATAAAATTGGAGGATGTTGTGGCGTTGATACTAGGAGAGGAGGCTCGAAGAAGAGCATCGGGTGAGGATGTTGTTTCAGGTTCAACACTCAATATAGAAGAGAGAGGCAAGGCTATGAATAAGGGAGGCAACAAAAAAGGAAAAGGAAAGTCGTATTCGAGAAACAGAGGCCGAAGTAAATCTCGTAGCGGAGATGAGGGCTGCTGGAACTGTAGTCATAAGGGGCACTGGAAACGGGACTGCAAGGCACAAAAAAAGGAGCAGAATGAGAATAATCAAAGAGGTAAAAATACTGCTAATATTGCTGACAAGTCTAATAATGATGTTTTGATTTGTTCGTTGGATTCTTGCAGTGAATCTTAGATTGTAGATTCTGGAGCTTCATTCCATGCTACTCCATGCATAGATGTACTACAAAACTATGTGCAGAGAAACTTTGGTAAAGTGTATTTGGGCGATGATGAAGCCTGTAACATTGTTGGGAAAGCGGATGTACAGATTACTTAGATAGATGAGACGGTTCTGAAATTGAAGGATGTTAGACATGTGCCTAGTTTAACAAGAAATCTTATTTCAGTGGGTCAGTTGTCAGAGGGTGGAGTAGTAACATCGTTTAAATCAGATGCTTGGAAGATGAGTAAGGGGGCTTTGATACTTGCTCGTGGTAAAAAGGAATGAACTCTATATGTATCTTCGGGTACTTATAATANTTGATACTTGCTCGTGGTAAAAAGGAAGGAACTCTATATGTATCTTCGGGTACTTATAATAGCATCACGGTGACAACATTAGGGATTGATTGCACTACGTGGCATCATAGGCTGGGTCACATGAGCGAAAAGGGGATGAAAGTAATGATGTCAAAGGAAAAATTGTCACGTTGTAAGTCGCTGGATTTACACTTCTGTGAGGATTTTGTTCTCGGGAAACAAAAGAAGGTCAGCTTCAAAGGTGACAAGAACTCTGAAAACAAAGAAATNGTCAAAGGAAAAATTGTCACGTTGTAAGTCGCTGGATTTACACTTCTGTGAGGATTG